CATAGACTAGGGGGCTTGAACAACAGACATTTATTTCTTATGGTTCTGGAAGCTGGAAGCCTGAGATTGGTTTCTGGCGAGGGCTCTCTTCTTGGCTTGCAGACAGCCACATTCTCACCATGTCCTCACATGGTGGAGAGAGAATGAACAAGCTCTGGTCTCTCCCTTCTCATAAGGACACTCATCCATCCTAAGGGCCCCACCTTCATGATTATCTCCCAAAGGCCCCATCTCCAAGTACCATCACACTGAGGGCTAGGGCTTCAGCTTATGAATGGCAGTGGAAGGATGACACAAATATTCAGTCCAGAACAACAGGGCATGTCACTCCTTGCCTCAGGTTCCTCCAATGGCTGAGAAAAAGCCAATGTCCTCACACCAGCCGCTAGGCCCTACACCAGTGGTATCCATAGGGAGGGCACAGCTCCCTAGGGAACACTTGGGAAATCGACGAAGGTATTTTCTGGTGGTCACAGAGACTAGGGGACTTTACAGGCACTAAGTGTGGGGGACCAGGGATGCTAGTGGTCCTGCACAACCAAGGATTGCCCTGCATCTGCATGCCACTCTAATGTCCTGCCAGACATTCTCACGGGTCAAAACCCTTTACTAATTATCTGAGCCTACAGTCTGTTTTACACATAAGCACAAATGTACTTTTTCATAATATACTGAATTTTCTCCTAATGTAACTACTGTGTAAGGCAGGTAAGGCTATACTTCCTTTGTTTGAAACACTACCAAGAACAGTTCACCATCTTGGAAATCCAGTTGCCATGGCTATGGTGGTAAACTGTCCTGCCCTTGTCTCCATCTGCATCAACAGGCACAGCATTTGCTCATGGGGGGAGTGTCAGTGTGTGCCTGAGCAATTACATGTTACATCTATGTGATTAAAAATTACTTTCCTATTATTTGTTTTAGATTACCTGTTCGGTAATATGTTTATTTCTTTTTGAAACTGTGTATATGTAGTTTACTGACTATACATTTTGTTTCAATAAGCATCTTTATAGTAAATATTAAGTAAAGGAAGTGCTGGGTCCCTCCTGCCCTGTATGGCTGGCCCATCTCTCTCTGAGTTGATCTCCTTCCACTACGTCGACTCTGTGCTCCTCCTCTACCATGCCAGGGATACTCCTACCCTTTTTTTTAAGGACACTCTGCCTTTGACCCACTATGCCTGCTGTCTACAAGACTTCCTTGCCTCCTTGAGCTCTTGTTCAAATGATACCTCCTCAGTGGTGCCCTCCCTGTTTAAAACTGCAGACTCCCACCCCAACCTGGCACTGCCCATTCCATGTCCCCACTTCATTTTTTCTCCAAACCTCTCGTCACTACTAAGTAACTGATTTCCTGTTTTCCCACTAGAATGAAAGCTCTATGATAAAAGGTTTTTGCGTGTTTTGCTCACTTGCTGTATCCTCAGGACTTAGAGTAGCATCTGGATACCTTTATCATTTATCTATATTTAACAATTTAGAAAGATGTTGAAATCTTTAGTTATAACCACAAGATTAAAATTAAACTGAAAACTCAGGGTATCTACACATTACTATCTTTAATCTTTGTATAGAAATATAAGTTAAGGCCACTGGTATCCAGGGCTGAACTAAAACAAGCCAGTTTATTCTCAGAAAAACAGACTTAGATCATCATGAATACTACTGGAAATTATTAGGCTGGGCATGGTGGCTCACATCTGTAATCCCAGCACTTTGGGAGGCAGATCACTTGAGGCCAGGAGTTTGAGTCCACCCTGACCAACATGGTGAAACTCTGTCTCTACTGAAAATACAAAAATTAGCCAAGCATAGTGGCGCATGCCTGTAATCCCAGCTAGTCAGGAGGTGGAGGCACAAGAATCACTCAACCTGAGAGGCAAAGCTTACAGTGAGCCAAGATCACACCACTGCACTCCAGCCTGGGCAACAGAGGGAAACTCTGTCTCAAAAAAAAAAAAGAAAATAAATTATTAGACTTTAATTGGATTTCTCTAATTCTTCCTTTAAGTGTCTTGTAACTCCTCCTCCCTAATCAGTCACTGGATTCTACTGATTCTATTTCTGGCTTGCCTCTCACCCTTCCCATCCCTCCCCGCTTTCCAGGTCTGCTTCCTGTCTCTAGTCATCCCACACACAGCTGCTGGATTCATCCCAAAGCGAGCACCTGTTGAGTCACTCACCTGTTCAATCACATTAACAGCTCCTGATTTCCTGTTCAGTCAGATACAAATGCCTAAGTGCTCCCGTAAGGCTCAAGGTCCCCTTGTAACCCTCCCTCCCTCTACCTGGAGACGTTGCTAAGCTCCTGCTAAACGGGGCCAGCTTCTGCACCCTAGACCTGCTGCCTCCTTTGCTCTTCTCCAGGCCTCACTCCCGACTGAACTCAATTCATCCACCAGGGCTTACCTCCGACACCCCACTTCATAGAGCCTCCTGTCCTCCAAATGGATGTGGGCTCACAGCACATTACTGGTCCCTCTCATGAGTGGTTACAGGACTCGACTGTGTTGTAGTCCTGTGTTCTTGTATTTTCACCAAGGGTTTGGACCATGGGGTTCTTGAGGACAAGGTCTGTCTTTTTCATTTTGGTGTCCTATAAAACAGGGGTCCCCAACCCCCGGGCCGTGGACCCATACTGGTCTGTGGACGGGTCCGTGACCTGTTAGGAACCGGGCCACACAGCAAGAGGTGAGCAGTGGGTGAGCAAGCAAAGCTTCATCTGTATTTATAGCTGCTCCTCGTCACTGGCATTACTGCCTAAGCTCCACCTCCCTGTCAGATCACTGGTGGCGTTAGATTTTCATAGGAGTGTGAACCCTATTGTGTACTACGCATGCAAGCAATCCGTGTGGCATGTTTCTTATGAGAATCTCATGCCTGATGATCTGTCACTGTTTCCCATCATGCCCAGATGGGACCGTCTAGTTGCAGGAAAACAAGCTCAGGGCTCCTACTGATTCTACATTATGGTGAGTTGTATAATTATTTCGTTCTACATTACAATGCAGTAATAACAACAGAAATAAAGTGCGCAATAAATGTAATGCACTTGAGTCATCCCCAAACATTCCCTGCCCCCGCTCCCCCAGTCCATGGAAAAACTCTCTTCCACGAAACTGGTCCTTGGTGTGAAAAAGGTTGGGGACTGCTGCAATACAGTATCTCTCACATTCCAGGTTCTCTAAATACACATTCAATTGAGTTAAAAAAAGTCAAATTCAGGCGGGCCCGGTGGCTCAGGCCTGTAATCCCAGCACTTTGGGAGGCTGAGGCGGGCGGATCACAAGGTCAGGAGATCGAGACCATCCTGGCTAACGCGGTGAAACCCCTTCTCTACTAAAAATACAAAAAAATTAGCTGGGCCTGGTGGCGGGCGCCTGTAGTCCCCGCTACTCCAGAGGCTGAGGCAGGAGAACGGCGTGAACCCGGGAGGCGGAACTTGCAGTGAGCCGAGATCGTGCCACTGCACTCCAGGCTGGGCAACAGCACAAGACTCCAACTCAAAAAAAAAAAAAAAAAAAAAAGAGTCAAATTCTTTCAGCTCTAAGTTAGAGGAGAAAAAAAAAGAGTCAAATTCTTTCAGCTCTAAGTTAGAGGAGAAAACAGGTTAACTTATGTTTGACTAAGCAACAGGACACAGTTTTGTTGGATATAGATGACGTTACTTGCAGAAACGAAGACTTGGAAAAAAACAACTTCGAGCATTATGTGCAGGGCAAAACAAAGCAGAATGAAGTGGCTCAGGGTGAAGATGCTCTGCCTGGGAACAATGAAACTGAAAAACATGCCCTAACATTCCATAGCCAAAGTGTTTCTCTCAATTCTTGTGTGATTTGCTGATTTTCATCTTTGGACAAAATAGGAAATCCTGAAGTTTCAAGGACTCTGTTTCATTTAAAAAACATTAAAAGGCTTAAATGTGATGGAGATACAGTACAGATGACGTTCTTGGAAGCTGTCATAAAACACTCTACAGTCTTCCCGTGGTCACACGCTCCTGAGAGAGCTCGTCTTTGGGCTGCTTTAAGTCCCTGCTGATCCAAGCAGGACCCATGTAGGTGGGGCAGGATGGCCTGTGGTAACCCAGCTGCCATCATCTATGGACGGTAACGAGGTTTGTTGCTGAATTCACAACACAATGTGTGACCTTCTGACATATGCCAATATTTTTCCATCTAGCATACTGTTTTGGAACACTTTATTAAGGAAGGAAAAACATTGGCTGTGCTCATGAAAGTAATGAGTCACAGAGTAGTGACGAAAGAGAATGATGCTGTTCAAACCCGAACCTCAGGCCAAATGAGATTTATTACTAGACAGATTAAATAATATAGGTGACTCTGAAAGTCCCAAATCCTGGGATTTGCATGGCTTTATCTGGAAAAATTACTTTGGAAATCAAATACAATTTCCCAGCTATAGGGCTTGACTCTGCTAGTTACCATCAGTAAGATCAGATCATAACATGGACGCATGGTATGTTAAGTAAGAAACAAGCTCAGTCTTTATTCCCTTCACCATAACAACCCAATAAAATGGTTAACTTGGATGAATGTCAAATCTTACAGCCCTCTATTATTTCAGCCTCTATAAAAACAAATGAGTAATTTGAGGTGTTGAGAAGATACCTTCTTGTAATTATGATTACAAGATTCTAATCATGAGAACAAATTTAGTGCAGCATGTCTTCATAAAGACCAACCAGCCAGAGCTATTAATAGAAAAGCCTAGAGCCATTTTAACATGAAGTCTAAACAGAAGCAAAAAAGAAAAGAAGATAAAACGTGCTTCTTTAACTGATGCACTTAGTGGATAACCACAGCAAAGCTATGAACATCCTTTGAGCAGAACACCTTTTCCTCTCTTGATCCCATTCTTCTTTATTTCTTATTTATTTTATTAGATAATGAGTAATGTTTTCTCTTTCTCCGAATATGTTTCTGTGGAACCAGCTAAGCAAATGTCCATGGCGCCCAAGGACCAAATCCAAATTACCTTCTTTTAAAGTCCATTTGATTGAGCCTGTCCTCTTGCTGACAGCATGTAAACTTCCATCCAGCGTTGACACAAACAACAAGGTTTCAGGAAGCGTCACTGTGCTGGTACTTCCAAAAATCTGCAAGGAGATGTAGAAGAATCTTCATGTTGATATGATTCTTCACCTTGGGCATGTACAATCACAGAACCCCCACCCCCAAGGTTATCCTGCTAAAACCCTCCATTTTACAGATGAAGAAATGGAAGGTGGAGAGCCTAAATTCCCACTCACTCAGGACTAGAACCCAGGTCACCTCATTCTAAGCAGTGATCCTGCCTGCAGACAGGCAGGCTCATGACCTCACATGACAAGGACAAGAATTCTGAAATAATCCATGGGCAGCCTCCGCTGAAATAAAGGGGCAAAGTATGCTCAGCTTTCTGACTTCCTTCTCTTGGGTCTATTCTATTCTCTAAAACCTGATCATCTCATAAGACGTTATGATAAAAAAGAATGCCAACACCCATGCATACACACACTATGAAATTTTAAAAAGCAAAGAATTAGGGGAAAATGCTTAAAGCAAAATAGGAAAAACAGCTTTCATTATACAAAGAATTTATAAAATAAAACACCAAGATTCCAATAAAGACATGTTATAAAAGTAAACGAATAAAAAGCATAACCCCAAAGTGGTCCTCACTTAGAATAAAAATAAAATTTAAATTAAAATGTAACTTTTTTCTCAGCAAACTTAAAACAAAACAAAAAACATTTGAAAGGAAATAGCCAAAGGCTGTGAAATTTCTCATCCATCGCTAGTAACACTGAAAATTACTAGGATCATCTTTCTGGAAAATATAAAAGCGCTCATAGTTTTTGATTCTGTAATTCCACTTCTATACTCTAAAGAAATAACTCCAGAGACTGAAAAAGTTCTGCGCACAATGATACTTATGACATCCCATTTATAAACACAAAAACTGGAAAGAACCAAATTTCCAATAATATCTAAACGGCTAAGATAAATGAAGACATATGCTCAGTGAAATAATTATCACTAAAATAACACTTGGAAAAATCTACAATATAGAAAAATGCTGATATACATTATCAAGTAAATATAGAATCCAAGATTTGATATCCACTGTGGTTACAATTATACTGGACAGTTTTTTTTTGGCCTGCGTGTCCTCTGGCTTTGCTAGGAATTATACCCTCATTCCACAGGGTTTCCATGGGAGCAGGTGTGTGCACACATGTACACACATGGACACATTTGCAGGTGACAGCTGGTAAAGTTTCCTGGATAAGATTTCCCTTTTGAGGTAGGGGTCCCTTCAGCAACCCCACCCTTGTAATGAGCTTTTCTCTCCCTTTGTCACTATACTATCCTGCAAATTAGCTTTTCCCCCGGGGTCTTCAATTGAAAAAAACACAGGCCAATGCAACTTGCCTATACTGCAACAGTTTGAATTCTGGCACAAATGCTATTTTTGAAACACAGAAGTATGGAGCATTAAATGTAAAAGGATTGGGGTTATTTGTGCATGGGAGCCTGTTCCCAGAAGGCCCGGCTACTCTCAGTAAGAGCCAGGATGCCTAATTAATCCTTCAAAGGGACCGCCCCACAGGCTCTCTCCGGGGCAGCCTGAGGTGGCAGGACAAATACTCCGGGCTCCCGTATTCCTTTTCCATGGTGGAGACCCACCAGCGGAGGGAGTGAAACGGCTGCCAGAACTTTGCACAAGCTACCTCTTCGCTTTGCCCAGGGCCAGGGCCCACTCCCTGGAATGGGAGACAGGACAGCCAGCAAGCTGTGTTGCCAACTACCGAGTCTACTTTGTGCAAAGTCTCAAGTCTGAGGAAGAAGAGTGCTTTTAATTCTACCTTTGGAAATAGGAAATTAATCTCAGAGTATGAATCGGCTAGGAAAACGGAAGCCTCAAGGGTGGTATCTGCCCTAGCCGGGGATGCAAAGGTCACTGTTTGGGAGTGGTTAGAATTATTTCAGCCCAGAGGGTCCAGATGGTGACAAGCCACCTGAACCAAAGGTACCTGGGCCTGGAGAACTGTGGCCCTATGACAAGGTCACCGGGAGTTCATGAGTAAACTGGCTAAGTGAATTGGGGCTGTCTGCCACTGAGGAGGGGGAATGGGTGTGCAGCTTGGTGTGGGATGGCTGGATTATGTTAGGTGTGCTAGTCTGGAGGATGAATAAGTGAGAGGGCAAATTATGCATACCTGGGGCCAAGAAGTGGAAATCCCTGCTGAGCCCTCGTCCACCCCTCAAAGTTCCCACAGGAATAACCACTCTGTACAACAGGTCTTGTTGGGGCCACACAAAAAATGAGTTAAACTCTGGGTGGCTAAAATGGAAATAAGGCTGGGCATGGTGTCTCACCCCTGTAATCCCAACATTTTGGGAAGTCAAGGCAGGCAGATCACCTGAGACCAGGAGTTCGAGACTAGCCTGGCCAGCATGGTGAAAACCCATCTCTACTAAACACATAAAAATTAGCCAGGCGTGGCGGCATGTGCCTGTAGTCCCAGCTATTCAGAAGGCTGAGGTAGGAGAATTGCTTGAACCTGGGAGGTGGAGTTTGCAGGGAGATTACACTGAGCCAAGGCTGCGCCACTGCACTCTAACCTGGGTGACAGAGTGAGACTCTGTCTCAAAGAATAAATAAATAAATAAATAAATAAGAATAAAGTGGGAATAAGACTTGAGAGAGCTCTGTGAATGTGTTTTCTGCCACATGGAAAAAGCTGAATGAGAAAGACACATAAACAGAAAGCAGCCTGAGAAGAAACATGGCTGAAAAGACTGGGAGTCCACCCTGGTTTCCACAGCTCCTCAGGCCTTGCTAAGTTCTTGCCCTTGTGCTCAGAGACACTTCAGTCCTTACAATAAATTCCCCTCTTTGCTTAAGCCTGTTGGAATTAGGTTTCTGTCACTTGCAACCCAAAGAGTCCCCACCACACACCCAATGACGAAATATGCAGATAGAAAAAGGGAAAAAAAGGGCCAGGCCCATAATCCCAGCACTGTGGGAGGCCAAGGCAGGCAGATCACTTGAGGTCAGAGGTTCGAGACTAGCCTGGCCAACATGGTGAAACTTCGTCTCTACTAAAAATACAAAAATTAGCCAGGCGTGGTGGCGGGCGCCTATAATCCTAGTTACCCGAGAGGCTGAGGCAGAAGAATCACTTGAACCCAGGAGGTGGAGGTTGCAGTGAGCCTAGATCACGCCACTGTACTCCAGCCTGGGGGATACAGTGAGGCTCTGTCTCCAAAAAAAAAAAAAAAGAGAGAGAGAGAGAAAGGGAAAACAACACTGCAAAATTATAGCAATATTTCTTCTCTCATTTTTTAAACTTCCAATAATATGATTTGCTAATCTGTAGTGAATTTTTCACAAAGTAGAAAGAAGATGGACAAGCTAGCAGGTAGCAGAGAAGCTTGAATTTAAAGCAGCTTCGGCAAGCGCCTTAGTTCCATGTGAAGCACTTTCCACCTCAGGACAGTAGGCAACTCAACCACCTTTGATCATTAATCTCCACCAAACAAGGGATCAGAGTTTAGAAACACAGGGGTCTCCCAATAAGATTGTATGCATCCAAGAATAAGAAGAGTTTGCTGTTATTAAAGCCAACAGTACAACCATAATGAACTAAATGCCCCAAGTATATTAATACTTATCACAGTATTAATATTTAAAAGGGTTAATATTTACTAAAAGATATCAGTGCTCCTTTGCTACTAGTGGGAGCACTAGTGGAAACAAAAGCCACCTGCCTTGTCTGAGCATCTTGGAAGCCACTGGAAGAGCAACTGTCTGCGGTTGGTTCACGGATCAAAATAAAACACTAATCACGGCCGGGAGTGGTAGTTCATGCCTGTAATCTCAGCACTTTGGGAGGCCAAGGTGGGCAGATCACCTGAGGTCAGGAGTTTGAGACCAGCCTGGTCAACATGGTGAAACCCTGTCTGTACTAAAAAAAAATACTAAAACATTAGCCAGGCCTGGTGGCAGATGCCTGTAATCCCAGCTACTTGGGAGGCTGAGGCAGGAGAATTGCCTGAACCCGGGAGGCGGAGGTTGCAGTGAGCTAAGATCACGCCATTGCACTCCAGTCTGGGTGACAGAGCAAGACTCTGTCTCAAAAACAAAAACAACAACAACACTAATCACATGACTAATTTAGTCTTGGAAAAATCTCAAAAATACAAGGTTTAGAAAGAAGCTGAATTTGGTAACTGAGAATTCCGTCAATCACAATGTCTACAGAAATGTCACAAACTATTACAACTGGCAGGTTGCTCTCTTCTTAAGGCTCTCAATGGTACCAAATCAAAACTCCTGGGAGCCACTTGGAACAATGTTATTCTCTCATAAGGCAACTAAAAATTACAAATTTTCTGGCTTTTTGCCCTCTGGCATTTTTAAAAGCATAAACATGCCTGAGTTCAAATGTAGTTGCTATAGCTAACATGAATTAAACATGTTTCCAGATGCCTTGTGTGATACTGAGCACAGCTGAGAACTATTTGTACCTGAACAATGAAAAACGCTGCTTCACAAAGATGAACTTGCGCCTTGTTTTTGCCCAGCCATTTCAGTCCTCAGTGCTCACTTTTCTCTACAAGCAACATACCCTATGGCACACGCACTGGTTTCCAGAGAGCCTGAAAATGGAAAGAAAATGTCGAGTCTGCAGATCTGTGTCAAGTTAACAACTATTTGGAATTTGATTCAGTTTTAAAACTAGTAGTTGGGAGGTTAAAAAAAAAAAGTGGAAAAATACTCCTGGCTTTGATGGTGACTTGTAGAAAGTAACCAATAGTAACTGTGGAGGGTGGGAAGGGTAATGCAGGCATCTAGTCTATCCTAAAACTAAACATCCATTAGCTAATTGGTCCTCACAGACATCAGACTCTGTCAAGCATGTGTCACTTAGCAGGCTTCAGTGGTATAAGGGTCCTCACTGCAGCCGTACTCAGCTAAGAGTGTAACAAGAGTCTCCCTCTCATGAAAGCCAACACAAGACCAGCACTAGATCCTGATGTTCAATGTTCTGATTATAAAGCAATGTTATGGCTGGACGTGGTGACTCACGCCTGTAATCCCAGCACT